CCAGAGCYGGGTAGAGCTGCTYCCTTCCTCCCTCCCCCAGAGCAAACACGACCAAGTGCAGAAGAAGCTGGAGTCGGTGGAAAAGCAGCTGGAAGAGGCCCAGCAGCTGGTGCAGCTGCGRGAGATGAAGATAAGCGGCTCTGGAGGAGGTAGGGATGCTCTGGGCATCCAGCCTGACCAGCAGGGACACAGGGGAGAGGGCAGAGGTTTGTCACCCCCAGGCAGTGCTGCTGTCCAACTCCTGTCCATCCCAGTGTGTTCTGTCATCCCCCATTGCTTGTCCAGGGGSAGCTGGCGGGGACAGCTCGGTCACACTCAGCGCTGGCTCTGGCGTGGGGCTGGGGCTGCTGGCAGGGATGGTGGCACAGGGGGCTGTGGCACTGCAGGGGGGTGTGGAGAAAGGGTGGAGTGAAGAGGAGGCCACTGCAGTGTGGGATGGGATGGGATGGGATGGGATGAGATCCATGGAATGGACTGGGATGGGATGGGATGGGATGGGATGGGATGGGAGGGGATGGGATGGGATGGGATGGGATGGGATCCATGGAATGGACTGGGATGGGATCCATGGAATGCACTGGGATGGGATGGGATGGGATGGGATCCATGGGATGGGATGGGATCCATGGGATGGGATGGGCGCACACACTGTGCCTGAAGCAGGTTATGTGTTCTGTGGGAGTGGGGAGCCCCGGGAGCACCGAGCAGAGCCGTGCCCCATGAACTCTGTGCTGGTTTCACTGCCCTGTGCATCCCCCCCCCCTGCCCCCAGCAGGGCTGGCCAGGCCCCAGCGCCCACCCTGCACCCCTGTGTGTCTCTCCTTGGCAGAGGACGAGTGGCAGGTGCGGTTTGACTGTGCCCAGACCGAGATCGTTTTCCTGCGGAAGCGGCTGGCGCAGCTGGAGGAGCGGCTGGAGGCAGAGCTGGGCACCAGGACGGGGCTGGAGCAAAAGGCAGGTGCTGCCAGCCCGGGAGGGGACAGGGACCCTCGAGGCACACCGGGAACAGGGCTATTCCTGGGGCTGCCTGTCCTCTCCCTGCTCCCAGGGCAGGCGGAGCTTTGCAGGGCTGGGGCTCAGCCTTGATCCGCTTCTTGTTACTGCTCCCACCGATCAGGGAAAACCAGTTATTTCCTGCTGGTTTGAGCTTCAAAAATCACTTTTGCTTAGCAAAAGTGATGGTCAAGTGTGAGCGTGGGGAGGAGTTTTGTGTGGTGGGTCTGGCTTTGGGAGCTCTGCGGGGCTGTGCCCGTGACACACGGGGTGTCACCCTCCAGTCACACAAGGGTGACAGGGAAGAGCTGGCAGCTCCTGAGCTTTGCCCCGAGGAAGGAAAAATCCAACTTTGCTTCCCCTGAGCAGTGCCTGGGGGCCAGGTCACTTCCCCTGAGGTTAAAACAGAGAAATAAARATTTCTCACGGTCCATTAAATGGTAATAAGGAAGAAGCTGAGTCTGAGGAGCTCGGGCAAAGCAGAGCAGCCCATTTGCTCTCAGTTAGTTTGGAATTAGAGGCTTCATTAATGCAGGATTTTGCTTATTTAAAGTCATTCCTTAATGACTCCATTCCCTGGCAGGGGAGAGCTCTGTGTGTCCATCCCAAACACAGTGGGAATCCTTGGGGATTCCAGTCTGGAATTTTTGTAGAGAAACGGGATCAGGCATTGCCTCTGCTGACTGCAGGCATTTGGAGGGGTCACAGCACCTCGGGTTGTCCCTATTTAGTGAAAAATCTCCACGTGAGGTTTTTTTGGGGACTGAAGTGAGGTTGAGCTTTGGTGGGGTTCTCATCCAGGGGTTGTGTGCTGTGGGGTCAGCGGGGTTTCTGCTCTGTGGGTTGTGTGGGATCCATGTGTCCCTCTCTGTGGGGTGTGCATGTTGTGGGGTGTATGGGGTCCCTTCTCTGTGGGGTGTATGGGGTCCCTATGTCCATCCTCTGTGGGGTGTCTGTGCCATAGGGTCCCTCCTCTGTGGGATTCATGGGTCCATTTGTCCCTCTGTGGGGTTCATGGGTCCGTGTGTTTCTCCTTAGTGGGGTGTGCATGCCATGGGGTCTATGGGGTCCCTCTTTTGTGGGATTGGTGGGGTCCCTATGTCCATCTTTTGTGGGGTATCTGTGCCATGGGGTCCCTCCTCTGTGGGGTCCATGTGTCCCTTCTCTGTGGGGTTCATGGGTCTCTCCTCTGCGGGGTTCATGGGTCCATGTGTCCCTCCTTTGTGGGATTTATGGGTCCATGTGTCCCTTCTCTGTGGGGTTCATGGGCCCATTTGTCCCTCTGTGGGTTTCATGGGTCCATGTGTCCATCTGTGGGATTTATGGGTCCATGTGTCCCTCCTCTGTGGGATTTATGGGTCCATGTGTCCCTCCTCTGTGGGATTTATGGGTCCATGTGTCCCTCCTCTGTGGGATTTATGGGTCCATGTGTCCCTTCTCTGTGGGGTTCATGGGTCCATTTGTCCCTCTGTGGGGTTTATGGGTCTATGTGTCCCTCCTCTGCGAGGTTCATGTGTCCCTCCTCTGTGGGATTCATGGGTCCCTCCTCTGTGGGGTTTATGGGTCCATGTGTCCCACCTCTGTGGGGTGTGCACATTGTGGGGTCTCCGGGATCTCCAAATTCCCTCCTCCACGGGGTGCCTGCACTGCGGCACCCACGGGATTCCCATGCCCACCCTCTGTGGGGTCTGTGGGGTCCCTGCACCCCGAGATCCGTGTGCCAAGGTGTCTGTACACAGCTGGCAGAGGCACAGACGGCGTGCCAGGCGGCGCGGGACGGGGCACAGCGGCTGCGGCGGCGCTGCCAACGCTTGGCCTGCGAGCTGGAGGATGCCCGGGGGCTGGCTGAGAACCAGCAGAGCCGCAGCCACGAGCTGGAGAAGAGGCAGAAGAAGTAAGGCCAGGGGAGGATCGGGGTGGTTTGCTGCTCGTTTTGTTCCGTTTCGGCCGCTGGGGGTTGTTTTTCCATCCCATTGCTGCGGGAGTGGCATAAAATCTGATCCCAGATGGGTTTGGGCTGGAAGGGGGTTTAATCCACTGCCCTGGGTGTGTTCCTGTCCAGGTTTGACCTGCAGTTAGCCCAGGCCCTGGGGCAGTCAGCCTTTGAGAAGAGCCTCCGTGAGAAGCTGTCCCAGGAGAACACGAGCATCCGCTGGGAGATGGGCAAAGTCCAGCAGAGCCTGGAGGTGAGCAGGCACCCCGATTTGCTGTGTCCCACCTGTGTTTGGGGACAGCTCTGGGAGCAAAGCTATCAACTTCTGCAATCAGAGCAATCAGGAAGCTCGATTCCATATTTTTTTCAGCGCAGTTGGGTGTGTTTAAATAACTTTCTCCTTGCAGAAGAAGGGTTGTTGCTACGTATGATTCAGCTGATCAGGGCCACCCCCATTGTCACTGGAGGCACTTGTGCCCTTCCTCACATCCCTGTCCCCAATCCCACCTTCAGGCCACTGCCCCATGGGGTGGGGCTGCGTCAGATGCCACCAAACCCYCTTGGTGGCAGGGCCACAGCTGCTGGGGTGGGGTGAAAATGAAAAATATGAACCCCCAGAGCTCCTGTGGGTGCTGCCCATGGGGGACACTCCCAGGGGAGGGGGAAGGTGAGGTATTGAGAGGAAAAGGAGGGGATGGGGCTCTCATTATGGAGTGGGGGTCTCCCAACCACTCCTGCTGCCCCAGAGGTTTGGGATGAAACCACTGGAAATGCTGTGGGCTCTGTGAGTGTCCAGGCTCTGACCCCCGCTCTGCCCAGCACAAGGAGGCCGAGGTGGCCCGGCTGGAGCAGCAGGTGGCCGTGCTGGCCGGCCGAGTGCAGGAGCTCAGCAGCCCYGGGGCCACGGACACGGTGCCCGCGCTCAAGAAGCAGCTCTGGGAGCTGGAGGGCAGCGCTGCCGAGCAGAGGAAGGAGCTGGAGCGGCAAACTGCCGCCGTGGATCACCTGGAGCAGGTATTGTGGGGCTGGGGGGGATGGGGGTGTCTGTCCCCTCTGGGCACATCGAGCCCAGGCCAATCCTCATCCCAAAATCTCGGGGTGCTCCAGGTCCACGAGAGGCTGGAGCTGGAGATTGAGAGGATGAAGCAGATCCACCAGAAGGAGCTGGAGGACAAGGATGAGGAGCTGGAGGATGTGCAGAAGTCCTGCCAGAAGAGGGTAGGTCCTTGCTGGGTGGGGGTGATGCTGGGGGCTCCCCAGAACCCCCCGTGTCCCCAGGGCAGAGCTCCATATGCCCAGGGAAGCACTGGGGTGCTGCTTTCCCWCCATCACCCCAAAACAGCCTCAGTCACAGCCTGGGCATGCAGATCAGGGTTTGGGTCAGGGGTCAGCCCCTGCCACACCAGAGGGGCTGTTGGGGACAGTGTGTGACAGCCACACGTGACACAGAGCATGAGCTCACCCCTCGCAGCATCACTCTGAGGGTGCCAACTCCAGGGCTTTGTGTATAGGGTTGATTTGCAGGAAATRCCCTTTTCACAAGGCCCTGAGGTTGGTGGGCACAAACACGGGTTCCAGCAGCTCTGCYCTGCTGGGACACRGAGATTTCGGGGTGCTGAGYRTGGCTGGGTTTCTGTCCYGCAGCTCCGGCAGCTGGAGATGCAGCTGGAACAGGAGCACGAGCAGAAGCAGATGGTGCTGCACGAGAAGCAGGACCTGGAAGGGCTCATTGGCACCTTGTGTGAGCAGGTAAGGGGACAGCACCCTCCCCTCCTTTGTGGGCTGCCCTAAAAACGGGATGGGGATAAAAAAGCACAGCCTGGTGTTGGTGCACATACAGCTGCCCATGGTGCTCCTGTCCCTCACCTCTCCCAGCTGCCCCCCAGCCACAGCAGGCACTGAAATCTGGATGTGTTGGGGCTGCAGGGATCACACAGAAGCCACAGCTTCCCACTCAGGACCCGCAGAGGGGAACTGTTCCCTTTTGTACGGGAGAATTACCCAAGCAGGGGGAGGCRTCTGCTTTTTGCTGCTGTTTCATGAGAGTCAAACTAAGCAGGTTTGGCACTGGAGTGCATCCAACTGCCTAGAAAGGCAGTTTATCCAATCYTTCTTGTTGCAGAGGAATTATATTTGGTGAACAAATCCTTTTTTCCCCTCTCTGATGAGTCAGTGACAGCAATTGATAAAAAGCACACCCAGCAGCTCTGGTTCAGTCAGCGGCTGAGGGGCTGGATGGTTCCTTCTCCTTCCAGAACAGCCCCCAGGTATTGCCCTGGCAGCCCCCAGACCCACAAGGGCAGCCCTGGAGTAAGGGAAGGGGAGATGAGATTGCTGTGAGACAGCAGCTATTAAATAAAATCTTGRTTTTGTCACTTAAAAATCCTGGGCTGCAGCAGTGGGAGGGGGCAGCTGGTTCCAAATCCATCCCCTGTGGTTGTGGACAGGACCTGAGTGACAGGAAAATGACGTGAGCAGTGTCCAGAGCTATGGAGGGATGGCAGGAGAAGAGYCCTGGTGGTGCTGCAAACACCCTGTGGTTTGCAGAGGACAGTTCATTAAAAAAGGGGGAAAAAAACCCAGCCAACCCAGAAAACTAATTAAGGAAATGGAGATRCCAATGATTTCTGGCTCCAGCAAATTCCAGCCGGCTCTAAATCAGGCCACAAGGTCGAATCCACACGGCTGATTTTAGCCAGCGAACAGAAAATAGGAGAAGGAAGGGGTTTGAAATGAGAACTGTGGAAAATAACCTAAATGGAAAATGTTCTTATACTTCAATTAACGCTGAAATATCCAGTGCTGAGACCACGTCCCTGTTTATTTCGTGATTTTCTAATTCCTTCATCCCTGTAACCATGGGAGCATAGAAGGTGGGATTTTTTAAGGTGTTTCCAGCAGTTTCATGGCCAGGCTGTCCCTCCGGCCAGCGGGGTGGTCACTGGGGAGGATGTGGCTGATGGAGAGCAGGGGTGGGCAAATGTTTTCAGAGGAGCAGCTCTTTGGTGGGGAAAAATATGGAACACCCTGGAGMTGCTCAAAGAACAGTTGGATGTGGCACTCAGTGCTCTGCTGTGGTTGACAAAGTGATGATCAAAGACCTGGACTCCATGATTCCCTGATTCTGTGAAAATGGCAATTTTTACTCGTTGCTATTAAACATCTCCTCACAACATGACCTCAGCATCACCAAAACATCCCTAAATTGTGTGTGGAACGCCTTGGGGCTTCTCGGAAGGGTCCGATGGGGGTTTCATCAGGGCTCTCACACACCCCCCGTCCCCCTCCCCAGATCGGCCACCGCGACTTCGACGTGGAGAAGCGGCTGCGGCGCGATTTGCGGCGGACCCGCGCCCTCCTGGCCGATGTGCAGCTGCTCCTGGCGGCCCCAGCAGAGCCCGGAGGCAGCGCCCAGGAGCTGGAGAACCTGCGCAAACAGGTAGGGAGGGAGCTGCGGGGGCGCGGGGAAGCCGCAGGGAGCGTTTCCAGCTCCGCCGCATCGGCTGAGCGCTGACACCCGGCGGGCGCCGCCGAGAGTCTCCTCGCAAGGAGCGCTTCCCTGTAATTAAGCCAACGGCGGTGAAGTGTTTTTCCCCTTTTTTTCCTGTTAATTACCTTCTGTTTGGTGCGTTTTCGCTGTGTCTCCCACGGCCGGGCTGGGGCGGCGTTGCCATAGGGATGCGGGAAGCGGGAGAGGGTTTGGGGGATTCGCCGCGGTTTGAGTGACCTGGGGAGCGGATCCAGCTCTGTGCCAGCTTGTGTCACCACACTGGGGACAGCCTGGGCCCCAGGGTGAGCTGGGGATCCCGCAGGGTGCTCTGCCCATCCCCGAGTGGGTCACATATCCCGCAGTGCCAAGCAGGGGCTCGGCTGATGATGCTGCTCCTCTGAAACCACTCAGGAACTCATCTGTTCCGAGCGTTTCCCCTGGAAATGAACGAMCCGGGAGGCACGAGCGATTCCATCACCATCCAAATATAATTGGGAGGGTCTTTCTGCATAAATAAACAGCTGTGAGCAGCAGCTGTTCCCACCTGTGCCGAGGGAGAAGAAGGGGAAGGTGAGCTGGGTGTGATGGATCCAGCAGTGCCTGTGTCCATTCCTGTGTCCATGCCCATGCCCTGGATGTCCAGGGCAGGGGATGGCCATAACAGGGACAGGCAGTAGGAATGGCCATTTTTGGCACTCTCGTGTTCTCTTTTAAATATTATTGACWTAGTGCTGCACTTCATTAATCCCTCAATATATCCCAAATCCCACTTTGGGGCTGGAGAAGTTGCACTGCCCCCTGCTTTTTCCCAGTCCCTGGTGTTCTTGCAATGCTGGGGTGTTTCCTGTGCCCATCCTGTGTCTGTCCTGTGGTGTCCAGCCCCATCTTACTGGAGAATAATCCCCAGYTGGGGAACAGCACTGGGGAGAGGAAATTCACAGGAGGAGTGGTTGAAGGATCTGGTGGGGTTCAAGCCAGAGAAAAGGAGGCTCTGGGGGGACCTTCGGGTTCTGCACAACTCCCTGACAGGATGGGACAGACCAGGTTGGGCTCTGCTCCCAGGGAACAGGGACAGATGAGAGGAAATGGCCTCAGGGGAGGGTCAGGTTGGACATCAGGAGGAATTTCCTCATGGAAAGGGTGGTCAGGGAGCTTTGGAGTCCCAGGGAAGGATTGCATGTGGCACTCAGTGCTCTGGGCTGGGTGACAAGGTGGGGGATCTGCCACAGGTTGGACTCTATGACCTTGGAGGTCTTTCCCAACATAACTCTGGATTCTGGGATTCTTGCTCCCTGCACAGCCCARTCCCACAGCAAGGCAGGAGGTCCCTGTCTCTCCCTGTGGTGCCGTTCAGTCCATCCCTGGCTCCCTCACTCCATGGCCTCTCCTTGTTTGTCTCACATTTGGAGAGGAGCAAACAGCCTGGATTTYTGGGAATGTGAAGTTTCTGCTGCGCCACCAACACCGAAACTCTGCATGTGTTTAAAATGCCACATGATTTTTCTGTCCTTTAAACAATTTCTAATGGCATTCATGACGACTTTCTCAAAAGCCAATGCATCCTACCACCAGCCCACGGACCTGCACGAGAAGAAAAACTTTGCTAAAATGCTACATTTCCGTTAATCAAAATCCATATGGCTGGAAGCGCAGCATTGTTTCTTAATAAGGCTGAGGCATCCATTTTATGCAGGTATTTAACAGATGGTGTTCACAGCAAACTAATGTTTTTCCACACTTCATACATTATGCATTTTTTGGGGGGAATTTCAATTTATCCTTCCCAAGTGGGAAAATTCCATTACACGAAGTGAATTGGAAGCTGATGTTTAATGAGAGGTCCTGGGGATGCTTTTMTGTCTGGCTGAACTATCGAAGTTTGGTGGGGATTGTGGCAGGGGAGAGGCCAATCCAAGGGCTGGTGGTGAATGCAGCTGTTTCTGGAGCAGCTGGACAGGTGGGAAAGTCCTCAGCCATAAAAGCAGGAGCTCATCCAAGTGGCATCTTCAGCTCATCCCAGCAAAACACGTTTTTTCAGATGAAAAAAGTTCTTCCTTCTCTTGTCAAAGGTCTCAATCTCCTCAAAGAATGGAGGTAAACGAGGCAAGGATTGTTCCAGTTATAATATTCCATGATTCCCCTATTTTTTTAATTTTTGGGAGATTTTTTTCTCTTTTTTTTCTTTTTTTCTTTATTTTTCTTTCTTTTTTTTTTTTTTTTTTTTTTTTTTTTTTTTTTTTTTTTTTTTTTTTTTCTCTGTTTTTTGGATTTTTTTGAGGGATAGAGATTAAAAAAAGGTAAACCCTGAGAAAACAGCTTAAAATCCTCAAATTCTCTCCATGGTGTGCAGCAGTTCCCATTGCTCACCATGACTAGGCACAGGAAATGAGCGTAAGGGTTTAGTGTTTTTTTTTTTGTTTTTTTTTTCAATAAAGAAAAGAAAGAAACCCCAGCKAGGAGGGGAAGGAACTGGATGTTCAGGTACATCCTACGACAGGCAGGATTTTTTGGGGATGAACGCTGCAGCTTCCAGATGTTTGCAGCGCATTGAAGATCGCTGTGATCTCGTAAAACCCGAGAGCAAATTAGCGCTCGTCAACGGGATCTTCCACGTGTGTTTGCAAATGCAATTTGCGCCACGGTGAAAAGCCCATTTGCAAAACCCCCGGATCATGAATTGCTTTAATCAGGAATTACGTGTAATTCACATAATTTTGCAAATTAATGATCGCGGCTCTAGCTCGCAGAGGAGGAAGGAGGATGTGCCATCGAGCTGCTCTCACCAGGACAATCAGGTGCTGGGAGCTGCCAAGGAAGCTTTTCTTGCTCTGTAAACCAGGAGCAGCACAGGTTTGAAAAGTCGAGATTTTGTGTTCCTCAGCAGGGAAAAATCCCCCGTGGAAGTGGAAATAAACGTGGTGTGGTGACAGCACCGTCAGCTTTCTGCTCCTTTAACAATGATCCTGTGATTTTTCCCAGTTGGAAGAGAGCGAAGCCAAGTGTGCAGAGGCCCAGCAATCCCAGCAGACAGCGGCCCTGGAGCTGGAGAACCTGCACACAGAACTGGAGACCCTCAGCAGGAACAAGAACCTGGTGGGTTCCTGGARAGGTGACAGAGCACAGTGCCACCTCCGGGGCTTGCAGCAGCTGCTTTGCTCCATCCGCCACCACCAGAGTGTTTAACAGATCACCTCGAAGTGTTTAACACACCAAAGGGTATATTTACAAAATATCCCAGCGTGTTTACTAAATCTCCAAGGATATTCACTAAATTACCCGGGATATTTGGAAACAACATCCCCCCTGGGTGGTTTAATGGGTGGATAAAATTCCTGCAAAGGGAGTAGAGCAGCATCCTGTCATCCTGCTCTGCCTCTCCAGCGGGTCAGAAACTGTTGGAAGCACACATTCCAGGGGATTTTGGGGTTTCCAGGGGATTTTGGGGTTTCCCATGGGATCCATGGGTCAGTGGTGCTGCTGACTCTCCTGCAGGTGGACGGGCAGCTGTTCCAGCTGCAGCATGAGAGGGCCGACCTGCTGAAACGCATCGATGAGGACCAGGAAGACCTGAACGAGCTCATGGAAAAGCACAAGGCTCTGATCGCTCAGGTAGGAGCTGGGAAAGCGTCTCCAGCCCTGGGAGGGCTCTCAGAAAGCCCTGCAGGCTGGCCCAGAGCGGGTGGTGGCCCCTGGGGGTGCACAGAGGGGTGGGGACCGCAGAACACAGATGCTGTGATGAGGAAGGGAAAGCTCATGGCTCCAGCTCTTCTCACCTGAACTTTTGAGTCTTCTTTCAAGAAGTGTTTTGCCTTCGGTTTCAATACTTGGGGGATCTTACAGCTGCCTTTCTGGGTGTGTTTTTATTTTTTCTTCCACTGTTTTCTCATGCAGAGGATGAAAAGTGCTGCCAGACAGCTCTGGAGCTTTCAGTGCCATATCCAAACCATGTCAGGCTCTCCCAAAGGATTGTGCAGGGAGCTGAGGGACCCAAAGCTCCCATGGGAGAGGGGCAAGCTGGCCAGACTGACAATTTACAGTCTGGGGCCCCTTGCAGAGGCATCAGGGATCCAGAGGAAGGGATCCTGAGGACGGAGATGACAACATTATTTCTGTCCTGATCCGCAAAAAATTAGGGAAGCTGCATTGAGTTGGGAGGATTAAGCTCCAGCAGGGCAGACCAGGGGCAGTTCCCTGTCTCAGGGGCAGGGGGTGCAGGCAGGATCCAGCTCTCTGCTCCTTGGTCCTGATCCTGCTGCTCCCATTCCCAACTTTCCATCTCCACAGTCGGCCACGGACATCGCTCAGATCCGGGAGCTGCAGACGCAGGTGGAGGATGTGAAGAAAGAAAAGCAGAGCCTGCAGGAGAAGGTAATTCCTGCAGAAAAAAAAGTAATTCTTGCAGGAGAAGGTAATTCCTTGCAGGAGAAAGTAATTCCTGCAGGAGAAGGTAATTCCAGCAAGAGAAGGTAATTCCTGAAGGAGAAGGTAATTCCTGCAGGAAAAAGTAATTCCTGCAGGATAAGGTAACTCCTGGAGGAGAAGGTTAATTTTTGCAGAAGGTAATTCCTGCAGGAGAAGATGATTTTTGCAGGAGAAGGTAATTCCAGCAGGAGAAGGTAATTTCTGCAGGATAAAGTAATTCCTGCCCAGCCTGTGGCACCCTGCTGAGGAGTGGGAGCACTTTGGGCTGGGAAAAGCTTTTCCTGGTAGAATTTTTGGGATTCACAGCCCAGTTTCTCCCTCCTCCTCCTGTGCTGAGTTGCCGTGGCTGGGATGGGCTGACCCCGGGGCTGCCCTGGGGCTGCACCCCCTAGCCTCTGTGGCTGTGCCAACCCTCCTGGAGTGGGATGGATTTAATTTTAAACACACAAGTAATCCCATTAAGTTAAGTGCTTTATTGGAGCGTGGCTGAGCCGCCCAGGAATCAGAAGCRGGACTCGCTGCCTTCGAGGCGGAGCGGGTGGTGCTTTGCAGATAGGCCGGATAAAAGGAGACAAATTCCAGTAGTTCTAGGTCAAATCCAAAATCTGAACCCGAGTTGTACCGGGATCACTGAAAGGGCAGCTTCCTTTGGAGATCTTGGCCTAAGAGCTGAGGAAACAGCTTGGTCCAGGCAGCTTTCCACAAAGGCTGCGAGTTTTAACGCCTGCTGTCCTCAAAGAGCCTGTGAGAAAAGCAAAGCAGCCCTGGACACGTGTCCCTTGCCTGCAGGGCCTCCCTTCAAAGCCACAGGCCTGTGCTGTGTGGTTTTGGGAGCAGGGAATTCTTTGGGAAGTGAGGAAATGCTCAGGAGCATGAGAGGGACTGGGGGGGATGGTCAGCAGAGGGGCTGGGGGTGCTTTTGTGGTCAGGGTTGGGGGAGAATGGTCCGCAGAGGGGCTGGGGGTGCTGGCATGGTCAGATTTGGGGAGGGATGGTCAGCAGAGGGGCCTGGGGGGTACTGGCATGGTCTGCGTTGAGGGATCCTGGTGTGGTCAGGGTTGGGATTCCTGGAGTGGTCAGGGCTGGGGGATGCTGCTGTGGTCATATTTGGGTGATGCTGCTGTGGTCAGATTTGGGGGATGCTGACCCACCCCCTGCCCATCCAGCTGCAGGCAGCACAGTCCAGGGTGGCCCAGCTGGAGCAGTGCCCGGCCGAGCGCTCCATCGTCAGCCGGCAGGAAGCGCGGATCCGCGACCTGGAGAGCCAGCTGGACTTCCAGGCCGTGCAGATGAAGCGATTCGAGGTACCCCCTGCTCACCCACG